TTTATTTATCCAGTCGACATCTGATATACGTAACAGAAATGATGCAGCATCGATTATCAATGTGTGCAAAATGTTGTTCGCAACCAAATCAAAGGGTAAGAAAACAAGAGAACTATAAAAACTATACTAGAAAGTCGTACGGTTACCTTCATTTCATTATGAGCTGTAAGTTCTGCTCGAAACGCTATCAGTGCATAATACTGTTTCAGTGTATATTACACATTAAAAAACATACAGTGGAATTGTCTTTATTCCTCTTGGATGGTTAAATCAAATTTTTATACAGGATTTTTAACAGCAGTTTTGGCGCTGTCAAATATTTTGAGTACAGAAGATATGCAACAATAAGGGTAGGAATAACGTTATACTCCCATCTGATTAGAAAACTTGAGTGGTGACGGTGAAGGTGTTTGGCAGTGAGATTGAAGTGCCACTCATGTACCTAGCCAGCTTTATAGGGACAAAATGACTTGTAAATGAATATTGGTTGATAATTATTCATAGAAATGTTCCTTTTTTGAGGGACTGAACATGCAGCTGTGGTCATGAAAAGTTCTACTGAGGTAATTTGGTAAGACGAGGAGTGCCACATTTGAGCTCAAAGTTTATTAACAGAATTATTTTCCTAGTAGTAGCTTACAAAATGTCTTTTTCTCGTATGTTCTAGCCTGTAAGTGTATAGAGTCTGCTTTCGTGGTTGTCAAGTATGAACGGAAAATGTGAATAGCAGCACAATTCAATAGTGAAATTCCTCACATTTCTCTTTCATGAAGAGAAATGATCGTAAATACTTCTGCTGAGTTGGATATAAGCAAGTAAATTAGAATAAACCTTCTTTGAAAGGTGGCCTAGAAAGTCATCCAGCATTTTGCTTTTGTTAAGCGTTTGGTTTGGGCAAACATTTTTTTCAGCAGTTCGTTGCCTTTATTCTAGAATATTTTTGAGTGAATGTGTAGTAATTCCTGTAGCTTACGGTTACCGAGTAAATAAATTTAAGTGGCATTTTCAGTAGACCAATCATCAAGCCGAAGACTTTATGAATTTGGGGTAACGATTCATCCACTACCATTTTTGTACCAACAGAAAAATTATTTATTCAGAGGTAATTTTTGGGTAAAAAAAGGAATCAAAACAGTATCACTAGGTGATGATCGAAAGTACAGTTTAGATACGAAATAAAAGATTTGTAGTTCAGATTTGTAGGTAAATAACTAAGGCTATATATATATATATATATATATATATATATATATATATATATATATATATATATAGGTAAGTTTTTTTGTGAAGCTAAAGATCAGATAGTCGGAAAAGTCATTTTGTCAATCGGAAGGACGGATGTCTACGTGAACGTGAAGAGCGAATGAAGTTGGCGAGATAATTGAGCAAAATCACCCCAGCATTTAACAAACCTGGATATGTGGAATGGGTTAAAGGAGATGGAAATAAAAACTGATATGTTCTCTAAGCTGGGTTTTTAGTTAGCCGCTGTTTCTTTTTATAATGCTGGACATCGTCACCGTTGTCTCACAACTTCATAATGGAAGTGAAGTAATTAGTTGTGCATGGGCATGCATAACGTGATATTTCATCTCACTCTAACCTGATTGTTCGATCAGCAAGTTAGCGTGTTGATACTGAACCTGGTTGTTTGACTTATTGCTTCTAGTTTTCCTAGAGTGTTCAACTTTGACATCGTTCGACTATTTTGTTTGCATAAAACAAATTCAGATCACTCATTTGTGATTGGCTGGTCCTTTTCGTTCGAAAGAACTGACAAAGTTGTCTGACTGAAAACTCATTCGCATCGGGGGAGAATGCGTTACGCTAATCTGCTAACATACACCTACTACAGGGATACTGTTTGTGGCTTTTGGTCGGTTAGATTTTAATAAAAATGAGTCTGTTTTAATTCATTGGGTAAGTGTGGGAGTTTCTTCAGGTATACATGACTTATCTCTATCTAACTGACTGATAATATTTGGATTGGTTGATTCTGATCATTGATTCGTTTTGAGCTGGCTGGTATATAGCATTTAGGTCGACATGGCGGTTTATTGATGATCTGCTTGAATGCCAAACTCTCTAATCCCATCCAAGTATTTCGGATCTGTCCAGGTCTAATATGTGACTTTGTTTATTACCGTGTATTGAGATGAAAGACTGCATATCATGACGTTTAAAAGCTAGTCTATGTTCATGCAGGTGATGTTATACCAGTCTTCTCGTTTGTCCGAAGCAGTGATATTCATAGTCATTGCCACTGACTTTTTAGATCACGTTGATGACTTTTTCTTTGACCGATGGGTCCATCAATTCGCATATGATATGTGGTTGTGATTTTGCTGACCTGTATGATACTGTAATTCCAGGCGGATGTAACACCTGACTTCCATTTTCAAGATATTTTTGATGTATGGCAGGATGATTCTTAAGTTAATTTTTGCAGCAGATTTTTATTTAAAGTGAGAAATTCAAAGAAAATTCCAAAGCGGAATATTTGGTACATAAAATGAATTTCTTTCTTTTATCAAAGTTACCAATTGCTGATATTTTGTAGACACTATTCACTCGTGGATTAATTAATAGTCATCATTGAAGAGTTGAGGTGACTAGTTGGATTTAATAAAACGATGTAATTTAGAAAATCCTGTTTTCTAGATGTACTATGATCTTGATTAGAAGAATAGAAAAACAAACATTTGAGTTACTTGTACTGTTCGTTTACAGTTTATGAATCAGTATCCAATCTAATTTTAAGTACAAGGAATCTTGAGTTCAATTATCAGTGGGAAAGGAAATAAATCTGTCTCTGTAGAGTTAGATGCAGTTCTTGAATAAAGATTTAAGTGAAAAAACACCCGTCACGGTATTGAAATAAAAATAATAATAATCTCAGGTTACGCGATATTTTTATTAAATCTGATAGACAGATTCTTTAAATATTATCCAGAATAAATAATTCTGTAGATGCTTTTCAGGGAGAAAGAAAAGTCATATTTTATACCTGAAGAAGATAGGATTGACTTTTTTCAAACTAAAACAATAGTTGCATAATTGAAAAGCAAATACAAAGTACTCCAAAATTATATATGCAAATGTTTACACCTTATAGAACAGTAAGAATAGGCATCTACTAATCTGCTACTTTCCAAGAATTCATATTTTATTCATACTTTCGAGTATGGTTAAAAGAAATGATTTTTATAGAATGTGTAATGAAGGTTGATTACTAAAACCTTGAATCACCTTCATGTTGTCTTCTACATAGAGTGGTAAGACTAAAGTAAATTATACTATTCTCGAAGTGTCTTTTACTGATACTTTTAATTCAGCTTTGATACATTGGGTCGAATAATTCGATCTCTTTTGAGAGATAGGCTCCTATGTGAATGCATTGATACCGTCCGTTGCAAATACATTAGGCTGATGAGTCCTAAATGGGATGAAATATATGTCCTCGATTCCAGTGCTAGTTACTAAAATGGACCACAAATTAGTGAATATCCGTGCAGTGTCAAGACATCTGGATAGGAACCCGTTAGCCAACAGAGGTCAATCATTTCGACTCAGTATGACAAATGGAAATCATAAGTATCAATAAACAATAACTGATACCCGTTATGCAAGAGTTGGCCCTCGTGTATAACTCTTCAGTGTTTGGATCGATAGAGCCTCAATGGGGAAACCACCACTCACGGATGAAGACACATCTAGCTGACTAGTTCCAAGTAGGACAAAGCAAGCACTTTGGATTCCATTGTTAGCCAGTAAGTAAACTACAACCTGTAAATGTCTGCTCTCGAAAACAAAACTAGACATTACTGGAAACACAAAATAGGAGGGTATACATTCCACATATACTGTAAGAGTCAATGGGAAAGGTTTCGTGCAGAACCCTTGAATTATTAAGAAAGGTTATTTAAACTTTATTACAAGCTAGGATGTCCCTTTCTGCTTAAACTATATCAGCTATCTCAGTACGTTTAATCATAATTTCCTCGAGAAATCTGAATTTGATGAACGGTTTGCAGGAAATATATACTATGAAAGCCTCAAATTTTCCTTCAATGGGTAAGCATAATTGACATTCTACGATTTATGTTTTTTGCTTAAAATCATGTGATATGTAGAAAGGAAATATTTAGTCTACTTTCTAAGTATACATTTAAATAATCATAAACAGTGTCATTTTGTGTATGAAGTAAGAGAAAACAGTTTAGAACTGAGTGGTATACAAAAGTTTTGGATACAAATTGGATTGAAAATACTTTTAACCCAGTATGGAAATTGTTTAACTTCTTGACGACATTCATTTCTCAGTGACAACTTCCATACTTTAACAAAGAAAATAATGTTTGGTAAGTATATCTCCACCAATAAGAATATATTTTAGGAAGTTGCAGATGTCTATACTTAAATTTTTCTGGTTCTTGTATTTATTTAGTAGAATTTAGGTTCATCAAGTGATTGGTTTACATAAAAATTGATTTATTTTAGTTTTCAGCTAAAGTAACACTCTAAATATAGGAACATTGAATCGATGGTTCGTTCCATTTTAAGACTGTTCCTAAGGTTCAATTACAAAAAAAAGATGCATTATAAAACATGATCATTGTCTAATTTTTTACTGTTGCTGCATCAAAACTCTTCAACAGAATGTTCGAGAAACGACAATCCCATGAAAAAATTATTTGTTGCTGCTTTTGTGTGACCATTCCTTGAAAGCTATAGTTGTTAAAAGCAACTTGACATTTGAATGCCATTAAAAGAGAGGTTCTAGGGTGTAGAATAATGTTTTTAGTCTTCTGATGATTTAAAAAGGAAAGGTAAGGCTAAACTTTCGTTCTCATGAAACCAAGTCTCAGTTTGATCAAAATTACTGATGATGTGTACTTGATTAGGTTTCTTAATATCTGGGATAAGAAATTTAGGATAGATTATGTTTTCTTTAGTTTGAGAACAAGATAATTTTATGGATCATTAAAATCTCTTACCTTCATCATTTTTTGACGGAATACGCCAAAGAAATAGTAACGGCTAAAGGAAGACCTTCCGGTACTGCAACAACAAGTACAGTCACACCAATAATGATGAAGCGCACAAACTGGTGTAAATGTCTACCTGTATCCCATTGTTCTTTTTCAAAGTAAAATGTATTCACAGAGAATTTAATAATTAATATGACCACCGTTAGACTAGCCACGACGGTACCTATGGTAAAAATGCGAACATAAGAAAATAAATTATGAGAATGATTTAAGCAACAGGACAGAAATTATTTTTAATGAAGAAGTATTATTTGAAAAGTTATGTGCTAAGATTAGAGCAGAAATTTTATTTTTGGCATACAGTCAACTTGAGAACATATAGTAAGTGGTCGTTTTCATAAAATTGCACCGAAGCTACATTTTAGCAACACACATAAGCAACTTAGATATTACCATGATGGTCAGAAATGATACTGGTTCCACTTTGGGTTTGATATCTAACTTATGTTCTTCTCGTATCCGTGCGTAAGTCTGTTTCATTGATTGCCTTCTTTGTAATATTCGGCTAGCTTGATTCACTCGGTGAGCCAGGCAAACAAAATATCTTTCATTTCAATCTCCATTAAATATACATTTCGTTTGAAAATACCACCTAGATTTTATTCTATACACTCCTGTTTCGAACAAATGATACATTAGCAAAACTGTAACTGTGACTGTTAGAAAAGGAATACAAAAAAAGGTGAAAAAGCTGGGCAGGTATAGGTTACTGGTGCTGTCTTGCAGCCTTATAACCGGGAGTTCAAAAGTATCGATTTCCTTTACCAACCTGCTTAATCATCAACACGACCTTTTTCAGTTACTTCTAACTACCTACTTATAAGTAGTATAGCCAGTTGCTTCGAAATTCACTACATATAGTCGAAAGTTGATAATTGACCATGAATCAAAATATAACCAACCTATTTCTGTATCTTACACCCACTATACTCATTTACTGACATTTCTGCTAACTTTCCATGCCACCTAATGCTAAATGTCCTAGCAATCAATCTATGTAGTCCGTGGCAAAATATTTCTATTTTAGTTTGTTTACTTTAATCTTTTTTTTAGCTTTGAACCAAAATTTGGACTTCCGTCTAGAATTTATTGTTAAATCAGGGTGTAAAGTTATCCTGTTTTCGAAAAGACCACATTATAGAGGTTTTGCAGATTTTTAATCGTTTTTAATAGCTTCCAGTTGGACTAAATTCAACTGCAAACTAGTAAGGCATATTCATATAATGATTTTATCGTGAAATGATTCAGTTCCTGTGACCGCATAATCTAAGCGTATATTATGTTTTGTTGACGTAGTGACTTTCATCACATTCACAGCATGAAGGCAGTCCAAGAGAGGAAAATGGTAACCATTTCCGTGTAGAGGTATCTTATATCTACACTCCACACTATGTTAACATCCACCGTGAGATATGATCAATGGTATACAAGACATAGACCCATAGCTGCGTAAATGTGCTTTATGAAACGCCATTTTCTATTATATAACGCATGGATAAAGAAAGGTGTGAAAACTATCAAGTAATAAGTCAACATATTATTGAATTTTCGTGAAGTATCTTAGACTTTCAAATTAAACAGTTCTAATGATTATCAAGTTGAATTCAACAATGGACAATAGTTGAAGCAATTATCCTTTAGCACGTTTTCATGGTCTAATGCGTTCGGTAGTCTATGGTTGTAACTAAATAAATCTTTTTAATTCTGTCATTTACTGCTTCAACAAATCCCTGCAAACCTCATTAGTGACATACTTCAAAATGAGATTTCCTAAAGTTATAATAAAACGTCATGACTGGTGTAGCAAATAAAATCGGACTTGAGGAAAAATTCTGGCCGACAACGCTGAATGATTCTCACACTGTATCCCGAATCGACAGAAGTAGAAAGACGTTGACTGTTGGGCTCTGAACCGGCAGCTTAATGTCGCCAAGAAACTTGAACGTCCTGGGTTCAATCTCTTACGATGTCAAGGATGCACACCACTGAGAAGTATCATGCCAGGAAGAAACAGCTGTCAACTGCTTCAAGGTTTCCGGTGTTTCTCAGTATGATGTCACAGCGCTTTTAGATCAATCAATTCTCATAAACCTCTGAATGGAATTAAATATGTTTTGATTTTCTAGGAAGTTGAGATGCAGACCACAAACTTTTTTTGGCTTCATGGAAGTTTCCTTTCATGAAAACCTCCGTAGACTTCATAATTAAAATATGTGACATGGATGGAGACTCTAGTAAGAGGCAGCCTAACTATATTCTTCGTTTCACTCAGCTTTTAATCGTTCTTCATCCTTGAGATGTTTACTTGAAAAATTCACTATGGCCACGTTAAATCACATGAGTACAGACGGTCATGTGATTATGACAAAGTTAACTGAAGTTTATTTTGTAAAATTGTTGAAGCGGATTAAGTCACTTAGCTTGGCATATACTCCAGCATCATGAATTATTTCATATGACGAACCAGAAAAAAAACAACTCATTCTAATTTGAAGTTTAATTTTTATTTGTTTTTTCAACAAGAATTTGTTTGTTGAGGTTTATTGTTACTACTTTTGGATGAAGCAGTTACCGCTAGAAAAAAAAAATTCTGATTACGTAATGATTTGAATGAAATACTATTTAAATCATTGATATTGGGGTTTACTAGGGTAAAGTTGATTATTTTACTGCCATTTTAGAGGCTATAGTTTTCATACTTTCAGACCACATCAATCAGTCAGCCAGTCATTATCAACGTGAGATCTGGCGACACTGAATAATCGTCCAAGTTACTGCACCTCTCACCAGTATGTCAAGATTATAAATACAGTTATGAAAGATAGAGAAATGAGGAGAGATAATGTAATCAAAAGTCTAAGGAAAAAAGGTGGAGGAAGTTAAAGAATGACAAAGCACGATATAATGATTATTATGAAGATATCTGCATTAATGAAATCTGTTTTGAATCTATAGTCTCCAATCTCCAGTTTTGGCTATCATGCGGACTCCAAGCTGTGAGTCTAAATTTCCAAACACAGCTTAATCCAGCAATCAGAAACTTCATAGACGCTAACACCTTTTTATCTCGCCGTCGTCTGCTTTTTTCTAACCTAAACCTATTTTAGTTAACTCTGTGAGAGAAGTGGATGGTGACTAGGCACGCGTGGAACGTCTCAACCAGCTGAGTCGGTGAAATGACGTATTTCTCTTGCCTTAGATCATGCCTAACTTCTGCGTTACTCCTGTAATCCCTTCATGATTTATGCTACAAAGGTCATGATAGTCAAAAACTTGAAAGCATATATCTATCACATCTACTGGCCATGATTCACAAGCACATAGTTGAACATAGTGAACTAGTGAGCAACACACTAGACTCTTAGTATAGATATATCTTGAAATTCTGATATATTTTATGCTGTCTGGATGAATTCTATTAGTGTGGTCACTAAGATAGGAGACTCAGGTCAGAGGATGTGATAAATTGCATAGCACAAAAAGTCAAGTTTTCTGAAGACAGTAAATTGGTGCATATGTACCTATAAGAAATCATAGAGGAGTTTTTGGTGTTTGGTATTTGAAAGTTTTCCAACGTTTAAAAAAAATCACTTTCAGCTATTTTCGGTACGAATAGCTTTTAACAGCATATCAAAAGTAAAACTGAATGATTAGTCTCAAATATCTGAGAAGTCGTCACTTCCTTCGAAGTTGTAAATGACCCTTCTGACGAGAATTAACAAATCTGTAACCCTGGTTTAAGACTCGTACCCACTTCCTATAATCCCACAAAAATAATCGTTAGTAAGCTCTACATTAATTAAATACAGCCTAAGATACACAATGTAGTATTTATAGAAAAAGATTGAATTATCTATGACTGTACATGTTACAAATTATGTATGAGTAAACGCAGATCTGTAAGTTTTTAAGTCATTTAAATAAAGTTTGATATTGTTTGAGTTTCTGAAGACATCACAAAAGGGAATGACTGATGAAGGTTAGACAATGGTGTTATTTTCTAGGTACGTATAAGTAAAGTTACGATGGTGATGAACAGATATTAGTTTTATCGTCTCTGAAAACCTGTCTTTCATATTAATATTGAAGAACCTGGAAACATTCGACAGCGTTGAAAGCTTTCGTTAATGACTTATATCCTCATTTATCGAATTTCTACCTTCTAGTTCAAGAAATCATCAGATATTTTTGAGATGCTGAATACCCAATTGCTTATAAACTTTGATTATCACGGTTATACTGTGGTATGTAGTAGTGGAAATTAATGATTGGGAAGGCCTGTCTGATGTAAGTTTTATCCCTTCTGGTATTAATCAATCTGTGGAGAATATCTGCAGAAGTTGTGAATTTTATGTTACCTTGAAGATTGGAACTTATATGCCTCAGTTCCGAAATATACGACTTTTCAGCCAAGTCAATGGGGTTATACGTTTACCTTATAATGAAAAATTACTTTTTCAAGAGGCTGATAAAGTAAGAAATTATTATGTGGGATTTTCAAGTGTTTGCTGTAGTAGTTTCACTTTTATTGTTTTGGCAGTATCGAATTTATTGCTCGCTGTATTCTTTTACGTGAACAGATGGAAAAATAGTAAACAGATTATGTAGTGATCCAGTTCATCATTCATCGTAGCGAACTTGATTTCATTTTGGTTTACATAGTCTTTTGACGTTTCGCCGGGGATTTTTGTCTAATATTGTACAAACTTGAAGATCTACAGGTGAAAAATAACAAGTCGATAGAAAAGGCAGGGCAGCGAGGACGGGATTTCAAGTGAACATAGAGAAGACGGAGGTGATGAAGATACCCAACCAACAACATGCACTAATCACCATCAACGGGAGAAACCTAAACGAAGTTGTCTCTTTCACCTACGCAGGCAACATTGTTTCAACTACAGGCGGCACAGTTACAGATGAGGACAGGCCTTCATTAATCTGAAACCAGTGTGTAGATTTACCGTACTCAGTATAAAGAACAAGATTCGAATTTTCAACACTAATGCTAAGTCAGTGCTTCTATATGGTTCATAGACTTGGCGCATTACGAAAAGCATTTCTGATAAACTAAAGACATACATCAACAGCTGCCCACGCTCAGTGCTGATGATGAGATGTCCGGAAAAAAACAACAAGGAACTCTGGCTGGTTGGCTGGCAACGAACGAACTAACAATCCGTCGACCAACAAATATTCAGAAGGGAGTGGAGATGGATTGGGCATACACTGAGAAGACCATTTGAGGACATCACGCGCCAGGTCAGACCAGGTCTTCGAGTGGAACCAGAATGGGAAACGACGAGTTGGGCGTTGGAGGCGAGGGTGACATGGAGGAGATCATGTTAGGAAGAAATGAGAGCTTGTGAAAACAGGTTGAAAAGACTGCAGAGAATAGAATGAAATGGAGGTGTACTACTAAAGTCCTAAGTTCCACTAGGAACCCAAGGGAGAAATAATAATAAAAATAGTCTTTTGATGAAGTGGACATTTAAACAAGCGTAGTATGCATCAATCACTGTAGTCTTTAGACAAACATATTTTTCAGTAACTGATTTCTTAATCCTACGCAGTATGTATACTGTCAATCAGTTCTTCTAAACACATTTAGGGGTTTCTTTAAATAAATTTGATAACACTGTGACATCTGTGACCAAACACTTGCAAGCTATGAATGACCTCTAGCACTACAGAACTCGAACATCAGTTATGCAATAGAGCAGTGTGCAATGCTTTATGAAGCCAGTTTTTAGTGTTTAAGGCAACAAACAAGCTAAATTAATAAAATTAAGGTAGACAGGTATCTAATAAAAAGATTTAGTGCTTTTATTCTGAGGCTACATTCTAAATGAAGCTATAGGCATGAAGAATTCTTTCTACTTACAATTTTTATGGCTATTCATTTAAGTATGGTTTACACATAGTACAATTCTGTACTTTCTTCACGCATACGTCGTTATATCTGTTTACCTAGCTTCTAGTATGGATCATTACCGCATAATAAAAGTGATATGAAAAGAACAGTGTACAACGATTATATTTATCGTTTGTTGAAGAAAGAAAAAAAATTCAACTTACCCATTTGACCTATTAAACTGGCTAAACGGGTTAACTTAGCCTGAAGTACAGAGTACTTTTTCTTTCTACGTTTACGACCCTTAGGTGCATCAATATCATCTTCAATAACTTCTCCATCTCCTTCAACCAAACTGTTACGTTGATTTAAATTGTCACGTTGATGATTTTCGACATGATCTCCTGTAGCTACAGTTTTTCCTGATTAATTAAAAATTCAAAAGTTAATCATTGTTAGTTTGTGAAACTGTTTACATCGAAATGCAGTTAATCATTACAACTGACCAATTATACATATTATATAAAATTGGCATGGGGAATATTATTGTCTTATAAACATTCATGAATCATGGCACCACTCCTTTAATTTTAGTTCTAACTGAGAATGACAGTATTTGAAGTGATAAGTTTTAGGTTACTTTTGTGTATCTATTTCACCATAGCTTAAATCTACTTTGTTTAATTTCCAGTAGATTTCCTAACCGTTTAAAATGCAGTCAAAACTTATCTCTTCATTTTCAATTTTATGAATGTTGCCTATGTAAATATTTGCCAAACCGGCTATCAATGTTATGCAGTACTGTACATCAAAATCTTCTCAGATATCTTTTATCTACATTTACTAGATAAGAAATTTTTCATAAGAAAAGCATCCTATTGTTTATATCTTCGAGACAAAAATCTAGAGATATTTTATAAATCGTAGGCTGACATCAGTTGGAGAAACATAGGAAACCCGGGACCACTGGATAACCGTTTCTTCCTAGTATGGGACTCCTCAGCAGTGCGCACCCACGACCCCACCAGGGATAGAACCCGCGACCTTCAGGTTCCTTTGCCATCAAGTTACCGTTGAGCCTGTGGGTCAGGATCCAACGGTTGCGCTATATCGTGAGCTAATAGAAGTTGGAAATATGGACCATCGGATTCTGACCCAGTGGCTTGGTGGTAACGTGCTGGCCAAAGAAGCTGAAGGTCGCGGGTTCTATCCTTGGGGGGTCGTGGGTGCGCACTGCTGAGGAGTCCCTTACTAGGTTTCCTTTGTTCCTCTAACTTATGTAAGTCTACGATGAATAACAACGTGAAATATTTCCAAATTCCCACAACTCCCTCAAAATATTTTATCAACATAGCTATTAACAGAAGTGCATGACAGACGTTCCAGTGATAGGTGCTAGGTAAATAGCTTTTAAATTCATGAAGACAAGTCAAACACTTTTACAGGGATCACAGAGCTATTCTTCTTTACAGAAATGAGAGATTTAAAAGGTTTTATGCTAAGCGTTGACGAAACACTATCACAGTTTACAGAACATTACAGAACTTTCATTAATTGTGTTTACCAAAAAATAAGTAAAAGATATATATACTTCTGACGGAACCAAGAAGTTGTGCATTATTCATTATCATTTAGAGATTTGTATTGTATTATTATATCCTACATACCACCAGTTCACTAAAACTGAATAGTTAGAACGAGTCAGTTATCGCAAAACTAACCATCCCTACTTCGTTCGGTATTTGGATTGTCTCACCGTGACCAGTAAAACGTATTGATTGAGATAGGAAATCTACAACTAACAATTTAAGTTTGTACTAAATTTCGTCTACTATTAACTAGACCACAGCTTATGAACTGAATATTTTGATGTCTGCAGAAAAGCATCGTGAAATTCAACATTTCGGGTTTTTCTAGAAGAGTTACTTTCATTTCAGACTATCTGGTAAGCATCTGGTTTGATGTTATAAATACATCACTATCCTTCAAAGCCTATCTAAGATAAGATGTATGTCAAGTTTTAAGCCACTCGATCTCATTTCAAATACTAATATTTTTCATTGTGGTAGGTTTGTTTTAAAGAATAGATTATCACTTGATATCCTGAATTCAGAAATACAATGCAGGATTTTCAGCAAAAACAAACAGCTTCGTGTAGCGGAAAATACGTCGCACTTATTGTATGAAAGTTACTGATAATATTTGGCTTTAAAGATCAAAGTGGATGTGATGCAAGTCTATAACCTTGCACACGAAAATCAACTCACTATATGGATCACTAAGTCAAAGTTGTTTTTAAAGCTACAACCTGTAATTAAGGGGTATCACTAGGCGAAAAATACTGATTCACAGAATCAGTCAATTTTATGCAAGCAGAAATGAATATAATTCAATATTCACAAACTGTGGACTTCGAAATTGTTTTCTAGTGTTCTGTTGGCCTGTGGAGTGAAGCGGGTTGGAAGTGACAATAAATAATTGCCGTAAACACTAGATGATGTTTGCTATGGTTTACCAGTAGTTAGAGGGGGAAATGTGAACCTCTAGATAGCAACCAACCGATGAAATAACATTTCAGTCATGGAAGTTTACCCCAGTGTCTTGCTATTAAAATAATTCAATGATGAATTTCATGTTAGTGAGTTGAATCAGCCTTACAAATATTAAGTCACAACTAGTCTGTCAAACATTCAACCATGTGGAGTGCAGAATACTGATTCGAAGTTGGTTAGGCTAGGTATGTGTCTGAGAGCTAAACATTTCACTGTAAAAACGCTGTGGATTTGTAGACATCAATAAATGCCTAAAAATCCATTGCACACTGGGAGATTACTTGGTAGGCTCCTCATATTGAAAGTTTATCAAAATCCATCAATCTTTTAACCTCTCACTAAAATCTCTGACTAACTACGTGTTACATTAACAAAGCGTTTAACATGACATATCATGATCTACTAAATCCACATTTATTTAAAAAAATATTTTTAACATGCAACAAATGGGAAATGAATTTTATTCTCTTGACATATAAACATTTAGAATTGAAAGTCAAACTGTATAGTGAAAAAGGCAGAAAAATCTTTTTTCATCCTGTCAAAAGTTCAAACAGTTAGCTTGCAAACTGGAGCCACTGTAGAATAAAGTGTTTTATTTCCTGAAGTAAGATTTCTCTGATAAATGCGCTCAAATCCAAAGATCAATTTAAATTTAATAGTTCTCAAAGAAACCAACTGTTATTAGATCTTGTTACATCACCAGCTAATTAACTGGGAAAAAAACGTTTGTAAGTTAAGCGAGATTAAACCGTTTTATGGTTTAATCAGGGAAAAACTGATGTAAAAATTACAACGTAAACTTGAGACTATTGTCAAATCTACTGAATAATCCAACAGGTAGTTATCATATGGCATAACTACTCATTTTGAATGCTGTAAAATAACTCAAAGACATTTTCTGATAAACGGAAATCATCGAGCAATTTGTTCCCAGTGATTGTGTACCTTATGTCAAATGAACCAGGTAGTGACTGAACCTGACTAAGAATTCAGATCATCACAAAATTCAGACTACTGGCCTAGAGAATGCTGACCTGGTGAAGACTGACTGGATCACGGCAGTATAGTTCTGATCACGTTTTGGCTTTGCTTTTGGTTCCGATCAGGTATCATGTAGTTGAATGACATGCAAACTATTATTTGCCATAATCAAACTTGCTAGACAAATGAGTTCTGTCGTTAAGGCATCTAAGTCGATTTTGCTGATAAAGAGTATGAATGAACGCTTCCTGAATAAGCTACCATTAGTAGTATATATATATATATATATATATATATATATATATATATATATATATATATATATATATATATATATATATATATATATATATAAGGAGATAATGGCCGACATGTAAGCATAATCCACATTGTAACAGACTTCGTAAAAGTTGTCAAAAAATTCATCACAATACTGTGTTTTTAAGAGATCTAATCTCTGATAGAAAAGAAAGGAAGGTCACCCTTTGCTCACTGAACAACAATGCTCAAAGTTTGAAGATATTTTTTCAAATTAAAAAGGCTTAACTTCTACGTGAAGTAGATGCTGGTGAAGTTGCATAGCCTGGTGATGAAACGTTCAAGTACAAACCTCAAAGCTTGGAGAACACCAAACAACTGTCATTCTTATCCTGAGCCACAAGTCATCTTATTATCTCTGATTCAAAATCTTTATAAGGTTATATTTATTAAACTTGAAATGGAAAAGTGGACTGAAACGATGTATTGAATCTTTTATGTGAATCCTTGTCAAGATTTGGCCAAATAGTTTCATAAATATTTGGCACCGAGCGAAAAGTCAACATTAGATTCAAGTTGTATTTGAATAAATTTCAGCGTTTTTGAAATGAGAAACTCAACATTTCGTATGGAATTGTGGTTAAGTTTCGGCAAGGAAATAATTGAAATTTACATTGTCGAGGATATATATATATGATGCAGATTTTGATTATTTCCCTGAAGAACCTTGAGGAAGACGTGTGTGCGAAACACTGAAATTTCATTATTTCAAACACGCTGAGATTCATTCAAATATAACTTAGACATATTTAATGTATATAAACTTATTCCATATATAGTTTGTTTACTTGTTTAGTACAGAAGTAGCCAACAAAATTAGTCTACGTAAATATGGAGATAATGTACTTGAGGCCTAGATTTTCCAATTTCAATGAATTCACGTAAGTTTCATTCTCCAAAAAGAATAGAAGTATTATTAGAATTGTAATTAAGTAAATTAATCATATACACTGTAGACATCACTAGAACGGACTGACTAGATTGTTACTAGATTTAAAAAACATGATTCAAGTGTTTTATTCACTAGTCTAAATGCAGCATCGTAATCCACTCTTATATCTCTTCACCACTTAACTTCTCTCTCTCTGTCTACAAATACATTTCTGTCTTCAGCATTTCATTGAAGCATCCTTAAATAGTGCTTTGTCTACAAGTCAACATGATTTACAAATATGTGTTATAAAATAGTTTTTAATTTTGATTACTATGCTGGATGCAGTTAGCTAGCTAAAGTAATATACTTTCAATTCAATTAAGCTTCCGCAGTCATTTATCTTATTGAAGAGAAGGTAAGATAAAAGCAAGCTTTATCACTATAATTTTTGTCTACCTGATTTAAATGTATATATGTAAAAGGTTATATAATTGATGATTAAGAAGGTGTTTTATGAAGGCTGAAACCGTCTTTTATTGCTGTCTTTCTGTAGTGCTGTCTGTTATACCTTAAGTTGTACAAACATCACAACATGTAGTATGATACTGTATATAGTCTGATGAACGTTTACGTTTCCATACTTGTTTTTAAATACTGATCTACGAAAGTTGATGTCATCAAACAAGAGGAAGAG